ACTTTCAATATTAATAAAATGTCTCGGTTCGTTTCACCTCTTTCCTACTATCTTATTTGACTATCCATCATAAAAAATGAAAAATACATTTTGTTTTAATATTATTCAGAGTTCAATACTATTCTATTCAATTCAAAACATTATAAATTAATAAAAATATCTTCACTCATCCAACTATTGTCGACAGCCTACTACTATCGTCAAATGATAACCGAAAGTCGTCAGAATGACACACAATCAGTGGGATTTGGACGGTCATGCATCGATATTGTCGTTTCCGAAAAAATCTACAACCAAAGATCTAGTTGTTGATGATGTTGGAGTTGTCGACTACTTCAGCATTAATGGGTAACGGAGACACACTCGGGGGTCCCGCTGACCGGTCAGCGGGCGGGTGCCCCGCTCCCCGGTGAGCGGGCGGGGGTCGCGGGGGCAGCGCCCCCGAGCCTGTAGGCGGTTTTGGGCTTTTCCATGTATAACCGCTGTATGATTCCTTTTAAGTTATTAATTCCTTTTTTGGTTGAGCTTAGGAATAGGAATTCTTGTAAAACTAGGTTTAATCTCTTAAACCTAGTATATAAACATACTTTTCTCTTGTTATGTGTGTGAGATCAATTCATTCATTGTAAACGAGAGAGGTGAGGCATATTGCAATAATATTGACTCAGCTGGACGTAGCCTACATTGGGTGAACCAAGGTAAATAGCGCGTATTACGTTCTTTGTTTACTGTTTGTTTTGTTTAACTATTATTATTTTGTTCCTGTTGCTTCTCTATTTTCGTTCAGATGACTGTCATATCTTGGCCATCAACAGTTAGATTTCTGACTGTAAATCTGGCCGTTTTCGACCAAATCCACAGTGGATCTGGCCAAAAAATGTCAAATTGATGCACGATTGACTAAATCCAGTCGATTGTGCACTATTTCGACGAATTGTAACTACCTTTTGGTGGTGGTGGCCGACTGCCAACAATAGTTGGGTGAGGGGTGTTTTTGTCAATTTATAAACTTTTATTGTGAGGGTGTTTAGTTATATATTAACAAACCTATGCGGTTAAAAAATAGTCTAAATAATTTCAGAAAATATTTTCTAAAAATGTATCAAAAACATTATCAAAATCTTATCCTATTTTCCAAAAATCTTATTCAGAATATAATATTATCCTAAATACTTAAACAAACGGAGCCTCAATCTTTATAGTCTTAATTTAACTTTCTTGTTCCCTCAAGAACCGTAGCTACCATTCTATAAACCTTTTTCTCTTCTTTGGTCTCTTTTTTCTTCCAAAAAGAAAATGAATACACTTCAATAATAAATTAATTGGAGTTGTTTGCTAAGCCAAATTAGCTAGGTCTTAATTGCAACACCATTTCAAAGTTAAGGGTTAAAGACTTTTTTCCACCCAATTAATGGTTTAATGACATGTTTCCACCCACATACCATTTTACTTCCCAAATTTATGTTCTGACGATGAACAGAGAACAAACTCAGTTCAGGCTTGACGTAGAACATCCAACAGATGAATTCCTAGAGTGGGTTGAGCATCAGAAGCCCATATGTAAAGCCCAAAAGTCCTAAATAAGCATGCTCTATTCAAACAACCATACACTTTTGATTTGGAAAGAGTTTTGGGGCCCATAAGATATCAACGGAACACTATTTTCAAGCTCGACAACCTCGTAACCAGCTTCAACTAGTTGGAGGTCGTTTTTAAGGTCAAAATGTACCATTTGGAGTATTTTGGGGTTGTTTTAGTTTTTTACGCATTTTTTCCTATTTTATTTAGGGTTTTCTTGTTTTAATTAATTTATATTTTGTTTCCTTTTATTATTAGGAGTCTTGTTAGGGTTGATTGTCACCCTATATAAACATTTTTTTTTTTTGGATGGTACTCAAGGAATTATTCAGATTTTATTTTAGATTTTAAGGTTTAGTTTCTATAATTGAGACTTGTTATTAGTTCTAAAGGTGTAGTCGAATGTTAGCCTTGTTTTATTACGCTAACTCTCTGCATCAAGGCTGTTGGGGCTTTTGAAAATGGGAGGCCAGTGATTCTTTTGGTGGTGGAAGATTGAATTTTAGTGATTGAGATTTATCGGAATATGACTTGGAAGGGCGGTTGCATAAACCCTAATCGCTGAATTGCTGGTATTGGCAAGGTTGGCGGGAATAGGATTTGAGGTGTTTTGGTGAGTGATGACCGAGAAAGAAAATTGTGTTGGTGTGGGATCGCAACGATGTCGAAATTGAAAATGGAATATAAATTTGGATAGTAAAGTAGTATTTTAAAAGTCTATGGGAGATAAAGTGTCATTAATCCAGTTTTTGCGTGGAAAAAAGCCGTTTACTCCAAAGTTAATAGAAGACTCATATGTGATGAAATTTGTATAAGGACTAAGGGTTCAGCTTAAGTCATTCACACCCCAATGAAAAATTGGCCTTGACCTCTCCTCATATGCGAAGAATTATCCGATACCTCCCTTTTTAGCAGTTACTTGATGGATTATGTTATCTAGTGTATTTTATTACACTAGTTAACATAAATTTGTTAACTAACAGCTATGGGGAGAGAGTTATTAGATAGTTCTTTAAATATGAAGGAAGGTCATGACTAATTTTTTATACCTTTGAGGTATGAGTCAATGTTCCGAAAACCAGACCGGACTATGACCCATTCAAGGGTCCGGTTTCTGGTTTGACTGGTTTGACCAGTTGGATCGGCTGGTTGGACCGTTTTCTATAAAATTACAATTTAGTCCCTGAATGTTTGAAATTCATCAAAAACACCCCTACAAAACTTCCTTAAGGTTTGAAATCTATCCAAAACACCCCTATCACGCAAGAGACTGGTGATGGTGGCGGCAGCGACGATCGACGGCCAATCGAGGCTTGCAATCATGGGGCTTTTGAAGTATACGTGCCGGCGAATCTGATGGTGATGCTAGGGAGTTCCATTGGCGCTGGAAATCGCCGGAATCAATAAAAGAAGTCCAACGGTCGCGTGAAGTTCAGGTGGACGGCGAGCGACGATGGCTGGATGACTGCCACTGAAAATTGCAGGGTTTTGTAGTGGAGATGCTGTCAAGTCTAATGACGGTGTTTTCTCCCTTGATCGGTGCCGGAATCCAGTGGGATTCAGTTGCGATTGGACCGCGATTCGACACTATCCTGGCGGTCCAACCGCGGTCCAATCCGGTTTAAATGCAATTAACGGTTTTTGAAGTATTTTGGATCGGAAATGTCGTCGGTTACCGGTCGAACCGGTCCGACCGGGTGGTCCGGTCCGGTTTTCAGAACATTGGTATGAGTAACTAAAACTAAAACCTTAGGGGAGGTGTGGATAATAGCCCTTTGTTGTATGATTTGTTTTTTCTAGTTCGTATTCAGGTGTATGTATACGCTTGGTAAAACGGGTCCATATCCAGGGGTGAACCCTATTCGTCAAAATATTATAGGGTATGGGTCTACTATTTTAGACCTGTTTTTATTTTATCCGTACCCGATCCCCCCTTTTTCTTTCCTTTTTCGGGTGGGCCGGGTATACCCACGGACCACGGTACCACATTTAAAAAAAAAAAAAAAAAAAAAATTAACCTTAATTCTGTTCTACATTTCAAGACCTTAAACTTCTCCATCCATCATTCTCTTCGACATCTCAATTCCTCATTCTCTTCGACATCTCAAGACCCTAAAAAAGGTTGACAACTGACAACGTCAACAAAGAGAGGCAAGATTTTCAGTCTTCAAGCATGTGGTCAACTAGCAGTTCGTACTTAAACGGTAACAATATTAGATAAGCTGTAAAAAATTATTTATTTATTTATNTTAATTCTGTTCTACATTTCAAGACCTTAAACTTCTCCATCCATCATTCTCTTCGACATCTCAATTCCTCATTCTCTTCGACATCTCAAGACCCTAAAAAAGGCTGACAACTGACAACGTCAACAAAGAGAGGCAAGATTTTCAGTCTTCAAGCATGTGGTCAACTAGCAGTTCGTACTTAAACGGTAACAATATTAGATAAGCTGTAAAAAATTATTTATTTATTTATTTTTTTGGTGGGACATTCTTAAAATATTTGAGAGTTGGGTAGTGGTGGATTTTGGGGTTTTATATGGTAGTTTATTGTTTGATTGGTAGTACTTTTGGGTTTGCTGTTCTGAGTACGGATTGTTTAGAGAAGATTGAAGATATGGGCGATGATGGCTTTCTGGGCTAGGATGTATTGCTGGTTTTGAAGAAGATGAAAAAAAAATTAAAGAAGAAGAAGAAGATGGGTGTATGGTAGGATGTATCGTTGGTTTTGAAGAAGATGAAAAAATTAAAGAAGAAGAAGAAGATGGGTGGATAGGATGTATTTCTGGTTTTGAAGACGATGAAAAAAATGCATTGTGATGTATTTTTACATGCTTGCTGGTTTTAAATGGATGAGAACTTGAGTTGGTTGTGAAGGGGAATTGAATTGAATTTGGAGTACTTGATTGCAGGGATGTAACTGTACAAAATAAAAACCGCAAAAATTGTGGGAGTGTAACTGTGAAAAGTGAAAATCGGAATGAACAGTACGGGCACTTGCAGGTCTATCCGTACCCGCATAGGTAAGGGTCTGAGTCTAAAACCATGTAGAGCCAACCCATTTTAGGCCCGTATCTGTTGGGCTCCTACCGGGCTCACTCGCCATCCACTCGTACCACACAGGTTAAGGTCTGAGTCTAAAACCATTTAGAAGCAACACATTTTAGGCCCGTATTTGTTGGGTCCGTACCCGGCCCACTCGTCCGTTTTACAGTTCTATGTATGTGTGCATATGATTATTTTATTTTCTTTAATTTGTATTTGAAATCTTTATTACAAATTGAGTCCCTTTACGTCTCCTAGTTAGGTGCATTTCCTCTTTCTTACAAATGACTTTTCCTTTCTCTGACGAGGTTCCTTAATTTTGATTTCTTAAGCAATGATGTAAATCTAAGTTTTATATACCTTCAAATTTATACATTAGCAACGCCATCAATTTTTATTTTTTATTTTTTATGTCTCCATCATTTATTAATTTTGGCGTGAATCCTTTCTTCTGGTCGGGAACTTGTCCCCTTAATAGTGGTCAAATTACCTCATTTTTCGCAAAAGTTGACTGCAAAAAGGAGTAGAAATTTCCTTCTTATGGCCAAAATATGCATATGGTCTTTTTCCTTTTTGATTTTTCCTCGAGACACAAGAAATCTTGTATGACAAAGTAAGAGCCATCACATAAGGCATATAAATTAAATTGTCTTCAGGATGATGTGCACTTTGTCGTTAGTTTTGACCTTATCTCTTCTATTCAATTAATTCATCACGTGATAAAAATATTCCTCCACCAGTTGTCTCTTTAAATGTGTGTATGGCTAATGCATTTTCTATGTGAAGGAGCTAGAGCTTTGAATGAAAATGGCAATGGAAACTCGAATCCTTGTAATCCCTTTCCCAATCCAAGGTCATCTGAACCCGATGCTCCAATTATCCAAACGTTTAGTCTCAAAAGGCCTCAAAGTAACACTAGTTTCTACCAATTCATCTCTCAAACCCAACAACATTATTTCCTCCATCGATTTTGAGTTCATTAATGACGGTTTCGACGCAGAACTAAACCCAGAAACCTTTGATGAATACATTAAATGTTTCAAAGTTGTTTTTCCTCAAAACCTTGCCAAGTTTATGGAAAGCCGCAAAAGCTTGGGGTTTCCTTTTAAGTTTGTCGTCTATGACTCAGGCATGCCATGGATGTTAGATGTGGCAAGAGATTTGGGCATGGATGGAGCTCCATTTTTCACTCAATCTTGTGCAGTTAATGCAGTTTACTATCATTTGGATCAAGGGACATTGAAAGTTCCTTCTGAAGGGTGTTCGGTAGCGTTGCCTTCGATGCCATTGCTAGGGAGTGATGATCTTCCGACGCTTGTTTATGAAACTGACTCTCGACAGTCTCTGCGCGAATTGATTGTGAATCAAATGTTGAATATTCATGAACCCAATTGGATCTTGTGTAACACTTTCGATAAGCTGGAGGAAGAGGTAATTAGAAGTACTTCCCGTTATGCGTTTCTATTGATATTTTTTCCTGATACGAGCTTTTATCTGAAAAAATAATTTCTTTCAGGTTGTGAACTGGATGAAAATTCAATGTCAAATAAAGGCAGTTGGACCAACGGTTCCATCAAAATACATGGACAAGAGATTGGAGAATGACAATGACTATGGCCTCAGCCTTTTCAAACCATACAGCGAGACTTGCAAGACATGGCTAGACTCAAAGGCAATCAACTCTGTCGTTTATGTGTCGTTCGGAAGCTTGGCGGCCGTAGGAGAAGAGCAGATGGAAGAAATAGCATGGGGGCTGAGGAGAAGCAACAGCTTCTTCTTGTGGGTAGTGAGGGAATCCGAATCCCAAAAGCTTCCGAAAAATTTCTCCGAGGAAACATCCGATAAAGGTTTGGTTGTGAGTTGGAGTCCTCAACTTGAAGTTCTGGCTCACAAGTCAGTGGGTTGTTTCATGACACATTGTGGGTGGAACTCAACGCTCGAGGCGCTGAGCTTGGGGGTGCCAATGGTGGCAATACCTCAATGGACAGATCAAACGACAAATGCTAAGTATGTTGAAGATGTGTGGCAGATTGGGGTTAGAGTAAAAGTTAATGAAAAAGGAATTGTCACAAGAGAGGAGATTGAGGTTTGTATAAGGGAAGTCATGGAAGGAGGGAGATCAAAGGATTTCAGAAGGAATTCGGAGAAGTGGAAGGAATTGGCAAAAGAGGCAGTAGATGAAGGTGGAAGCTCTGATAAGAACTTGGAAGAATTTGTAGCTGCAATTGTTTCCACCTGATGGATGCTAATGTAAATTTGTGAATCTTAGTGATTCTTTTGTGTAATGAATTTTTATGTCTTGTTCCTAGAAGTATGTGATTTGATAAGTTAACTTGCAGCCTTCTAAATTAGCATATAGGAATTCATCATGAGTTGGCAAGAGTATTTGATCGTTTTCTTCTTCCAAGTGATCTCTCGTACAAAGATCACTTGGAAGAAGGAAACAATCAAATACTCTTTAAAATTTAATTGTAATTTCATCAATAATTTAATCATATTTCTATTTTCCAAATTGCATAAACATAAATCAGAATATCCCAAACTTAATGAATTTTCACTATTTAAGAAAAGAATAATACATACCTAATCCATGAGTAATCTCTTCATAGAATTGTAAAAGAAGACACTGTATCTCTCCTTTTATTCTTTTACTGTAATTGTTTATTTTTTTTTTTTTTTTTATAGATAAAGAAAACTAACTTAAGGAATAGTTAGGAATATGAATGGTTTTTCTTCCTTTGTATATAAGCAATGATGTTAGAATTTTATATTTTACCATAGGATCAATTGTTCTACCCCAGATAGGCCTTCAATATTGCGATTAAACTAACTTAATATCACTGCTTGACGAAACATATATGCACATATTTTATGAGCTGATGTAACAAAAGATGCGGTGATTGACTGATTGGTAAGATTTTGCCTCTTCTTCCTGGTTTTCATCTCAATAGAAATAATTAATATTATCTCTTCATTTGCTTTTCCAATGAAAACTTGAACGAAAATGAAAGATCTTTTTGTCCTTTTTAATCAACTATGATTCTTGTATCATATAACAATTGTATATAAAGTAAGCATTATAATCTACTCATTTATCTTCTCTAAATAAAATTTTCAAATAGCATGTTTTATTTATTTATGTTTTAAAAATGAAACGGAATTTTTGAAGTGGGAAATTCACAAAAAGAAATAATTTCAAAAAAAAAAAAATTGCACCAACGGACTAAAAAATTACCTTCTAGTGGATTCTTATCAAAAGACCTTATTCGGATTCTAAAAGCTTCAGTTGATTTTTTTTTAATAAAAATTTAAATATTAATATTAATATTTTTTATCCATTTGTTTACGTAAGCAATGAGGTCAAGAAGTTTGTTTCTCACCGAAGGGAACTCTAGTGGTTATTATTATTCAGTTGTTGCCAAGACAACGAACCATCTATTTGTTTTTTGTTTCTTCACTGTAGTCACCTATTATTGCGACGCATGAATATATTATTTGGACTGTGGATAAAACCAATTTGTTTGTTTGTTTGTTTTTTTTTTTTTTTTCTGAATTAAAAGTTGGGGCAATGTCGTTATGTTTATATTATGAGTAACAATAGTCTTACAAAGGAGCATACAAAAAACTATACAAAGAGATAATCCATACCCTTGAAAGAAGGGAAAGAGAGAGAGAGAAAAAAAAACAATCATAAATTTTAAGGATAGGAGTTGTCTCTTTGTATGACTCTTTGTATGCCTCTTTATAAGACTAGTGTTACTCTTATATTATATACTATCTCCTTAATTATATGCTTGTGTGTTGTGTGACCTCTGAAGTGGTGTTTTTGCTTAATTATCTTATCTTATTTTCGACAATGCTTCTGCATAGTGGTGCTTTTTATCAATGACTAGGGGTGGGCAGGTACCCATATCCACCCAAATCCTATAGAACCGAAACTCTTAAAAGTTTGAAATCAGAACCTGAAACAGGTTTTTGTTTCGGGTACCTAAAAAAATTATATCATCCCCTACTATTCACAAAAATGACATATACACCCCAAATTTTTTTAAAAATTACAATTCAATCTCGGTTCCTATCTAGGTACTCGAGTTTCGATTCTGGTTCTGGTACCGTTCTTGCAGTGGTGAAACCAAAACCGGAGCCAAAGCTGCATAGTATCTGTTCTGATATTCTAGAATTGAAACCGACCCTATGATGGTCGATTCCGAGTAGGAACCGGAACTGGAACCCCTAGTACCGGCCGGTTCTGATTCTACCCTATATTTTTTTGCCCACCCCTATGAATGACCAACATGTAATGCAATTACTAGTCAATGAATATATTTATATATCAAAATCATGCTCCTTATAATTTACCAAGATATATATTGGATAGGGGCAGGCGAGTTCGGGTACCCACCCAAATTCAAAGGAACTAGAAAAGGAACTAGTCGATTCTAGTTCCTAGAAGTCAGGAACTGGAACTTGAAACATAGGTTCTGATTCTGGTCTCAAGTACCAAGTTAGTTTTAATTACCCCCAAAATTTAAAAAAATGACAAAAAAAACCCTTTAAAAATTACAAGTACACCCCAATAGTTTACAAAAATTATAATTCAATCCTGATTTCTAACCGAGTACTTGGATCTCGGTTTTGGTTCCTAGTTTCTGCAAGGGAGGAACAATATGAAAGTTATGGATATTTTGGTTTTTAAATAGAAAAGTCTTCCAAAATAACTAATTATGAAAATATTTTGTTGATGCTTGATTTACACCAACGACTCGCACGTGCAAAGTACTCAGCGAACTTAGAAATCACACGTGATAAAGAAACATGAAATGAAACAATGAATGAGAAGCGATATTTAAAGTGGTTCGGATGCTCAAAAGCGAATCCTACGCCCACTGCTATTGTATTAATAGATGGGTAAAATCAGGTCGCGTGTAGCGAGTTGATTTATAATTTAGAGAGAATACAAAAAGAAAGTGGGAATGTGTAAGCTATTTTAGACTAAGATTAGCCAATCCCGTAGATGAGAGGGATGTCCTCTATTTATAGTAAGAGAGTTCAAGGTAATGATTACAAGTCTGAAAGTGGGTAGATGCTGTGCAAATCCTTCTTTGCATCCTATTGGTTATCTGTACGAGAAATATCCTCAAATTACATAGGGCTTAGACAGGTGGATAATCCCAAACCACTCGCAAGCCTGACACTCACCTACTGCACTGACAGGAACCATACCCCTTGCATCACTGCGCGATGTGACAGCGCCTGCACAGCACAAAACCTTCTTGAATCCTGATTTGCTTTTACTAACAAGAGTTCACATCAACCCTAACTTTTTAGGCATAACAAAACTCCCCTAGTTTTTAAGGTTTAAGGATTGAACCTTGAGAACTTCATAATTATGCCGCAACTTAACCTGTCCCGAATGACGCTTGGTCGAGCTGACCAGGCTGTAAGGAGGTTGTAGCACATGTCTCTACGAGCAACCTAAGATGGTCTTCTTCCACAAAGTCAATGATCTAGATCAGGCCCCATTCAATGCCGTACTGATGTGCTTCAAATCTCAACTGTAGTCTGTGACCTGATAATACTTAACATATTTTTACCAAAGATAAGGAATCACATTGTCTTGTAATCGATATGTGGCGAAGAGTGTTATACCCTAACGACCTCTTCAGATGTTTATCAGTTGCGCTTGACAGCTAATCCGTTAAATAAAATAATCTTTATTCTAACAGACGTGTCTAGTGCGCAATAAGTGCCAACCATGCGTATTAAATGCAAGCCATGCTGAAACAACATTCCCTTTCAAGGCATTAAATGTGGACGAGGGCGCATTTAATGTGGAGGAGAGAATCGAGTCGTCGCTTGGTTATTCCAATTAAGGGAAGCATCGATTGTCATTCTTGAAGCGTGGCGATTACTTCTACTCATAGATTGATAACACATGATCACAATCAATGACGAGAAACGTATTTCACCCAAGCATCGCTTAACTTAGGGAAAATCAATCATCGCTTCCTTCCCCAATAAAACCCCAGGCTTGCCTCAAGCATTGTCACAAAACTCATATTTTCAGAGAAAGAGCAAAGCTCTCACGAGACCAGTCTCCCCATTTTCCAGTTGGTGTGCATCTTTTGTTCGCAACAGGAGGTTTGTTCCCCATAGCCAAGAGGTAAGGAAGATTTCTCATGTACTTTTCTTTTTCTACTTTGTAGATAGCTTGTTTTGACGAAAATGGTGGGTGTGAATTGTTTGGTAAACTTTTGTGGTGCATGTTTATGGACAGTTGTGAGGAGAAGACTTTTTCTTTCATAAGGAGTAAATATTTAGGGCACGAATCCTTGGGGGTGGTCCCCAAGGGTCTTTTAGGGTTTTCTAGAGTTTAAGGAAGGTACATTAGAGTTTCTTTTATTCTTCTATGTCGTTGTACGGAATACTATATGAAGACTGAGTAATCTCTACGTGTCGTCCCTTTTTCAAATTATAGGAGCAATGGATGCCTCAGCGACCAGGACAACCGAGGGGACAAACTCCCATGCACAGGACGCCCCAATGGGTCTCGTGTAAGAGATTCTATCAATGGTCACTCGAGATGAAATACAGAAAACAGTGGAAAAATACGCACTTATTGTGGACATCTACCAGGATAGAACGTATATAGCTCAGAATCCCCCAGAGGGAATGGCTGCGATCTCCAAGGCATTTTTCAAATGCAGGGCATTGATACCTTTCCACCCCTAGATTAGGTTGATCCTCGATCACTTCGAGATCGCACCACTACAACTGAGGCCTAACGCATATATGATAGCTGTTGCTATATATCACATGTGGTGAGAACGGTCACGGCTAGTTGACTACGCTGGAGCATGCATGCTCCTATTACTTGAAGAAGAGCAAGGACAATGACTTTTTTTACCTCTTGAAATGACCTACGATCGAGGAAGGCATATTAGGTTACCCTAGTAATGTCGGGGCCTGCGAAACCAAATTTTTATTTTTTTCAATATGATAACGTCTGCCAATTTAGGGAACCGAGTAGGTTTTCCCCTCTTTTACTTTGTGAAGTTTTTCTTTTCCTTTATTATTTGCTTTCTAACGAGCTTTCCCGTCTCTTTGCAAGAAATAAGATGACCATGTCATCGACTCTAATTGATTTCAATCGAATAGTAGCATTTGGTAATCTGTCCGAGCAAAGTCACAATGTGAGACTGCTTCTGACTACCGCCAACATGAGAAAATATAGTTTCTTCAACTTTGAAACTTCTCTAGAACCCTTAGTTCGTAAGTGTTCGCGGACTTTAAAAGTTCTTTCCTTTGCAT